TGGCCCAGGTTGCCCAGAGAAGCTGTGGCTGCCCCCTCCCTGGCAGTGTTCAAGGCCAGGTTGGATGGAGCTCTGAGCACCCTGGGCTGGTGGAAGATGTCCCTGCTGATGGCAGGGGGGTTGGAACCAGATGAGCTTTAAGGTCCCTTCCAACTCAAACCATTCTATGATTCTATGATTGGACCAGGCTGCCCAGGGCAGTGGTGGAGTCCCCATCCCTGGAGGGGTTCAAAAACCGTGTGGATGTGGCACTTGGGGACATGGTTTAGCAGGCATGGTGGTGTGGGGCTGATGGTTGGACTTGATGATCTCAGAGGTCTCTTCCAACCTGAATGATTCTCTGATTCTGTATAACATGAAGGTGAACGGGTGAGCCCTGCTGGCATTTTCCTGCCCGTCCCTCGCAGCGCAGGAGCAGAGGTTGTGCCTCAGGTGGCCCTTTCGCACCCCGAGCTCTTGCCGTGGGTGTTGCTGCCGTGCCGCACGCTGGCTGGCACGGAGGCGCGTTGGGATGGTTTCAACCGCTGTTTGTCCCAGCACGTCTCCAGCCCACTGAGCTGAAAGCTGGAAAGCCAGAGGACATCGGGGTGGGGGACGCCCTGGGGGCTCGCGCCACAGTGGGTGTTTGCCGGCGTGGGTCCGTGCCAGCGTGGACCCCCCTGGGAAGGCACAGCTGCCCCGGCGCGGCGCAGCCCAGCAGCGCGGTGCCATCCTCCCGCTCCTCCGCTCGCAGTTCTTCGAGGGGAAGGAGCTGCGGCTGAAGCAGGAGTACTTCGTGGTGGCTGCCACCCTCCAGGACATCATACGCCGCTTCAAAGCGTCCAAATTCGGGAGCACGGACAGTGTCCGCACCGTGTTTGATTCCTTCCCCGACCAGGTACGAGCCGGGGTTGCTCTGACGTGTGCCTCGGGGCTTGTTTCGGTGCCTCCCAACGTGCACCCAGGGCTGGAGGGGATTCGTGGACCCTCCGTGGGTGCCACGGGCAGTGGGACGCCCTCATGTCCCCCAGCATGTCCCCACGTCCCACCCCTGCTCTCCCCGCAGGTCGCCATCCAGCTGAACGACACGCACCCCGCCATGGCCATCCCTGAGCTGATGAGGATTCTGGTGGACATCGAGAAGCTGCCGTGGAACAAGGTAGGGAGACCCAACCTGGGCCCCGTGTCCCCTCTGCTTGCACCCACCCTCCTGCCTGCCACAGAATCACAGGATGGTAGGGATTGGAAGGGCCCTCTGTGGGTCACCCACTCCCACCCCCCC